CTATTCTATTCTATTCTATTCTATTCTATTCTATTCTATTCTATTCTTTGTTAAAAGATAAAAGGTACCATATCCATAGAATTTTCACAAACTTATAAGGAAATTACTGAATCAAAAAATGAAAAACGTCTGGCAATATTGTTCAAAGTCAGTAGTTATTTCCTTAGTTTGTTTCTGTCAAGCTCAGGCCAGAAGTCTGCTTCTTCGATACTTTTCACACACTGCCTGGTAGAACCTAGACCTTTCTTTCACCACCAGAATATAAGTTGAACAGCTCTGCCTTTTTTCTTACTTATCTGTTTGAGTACAACAAAATTATGAGAAACCCTTTCTTTCTCTGCACGCTCATCTTCATCATCTATCAATTGGCAGACTTAAATCTAGGAAGCCTTCTCTGGCACTCACTCAACAGCTGCCTAACATCTTTGACATCAACACACAATGAAAGCCAAATGGACTGCAGAATGCCCAGTTACAGGCAGTTACGTAGATGACCCTACACAAAAGGTGCCAGTTTTGACCTTCCTCTCCAGCTTTGGTCAACTCTGAATAGGATCTGTACCTAACATGGTGTCTGCCGGGACTCATTGTTTAAGTGAGGTCTTGTCTGTACCCCTTACTGTGACTGTGGTGCTCCTTGACAAAATATCCATCACATTGTGTCCTAATGTCCATCAAGAGCTATACCAGTCCAATGTCTGATTTTTTTCAACATAGACCACCATGTCCTTGAATGGCTGGGTGGACTGGACATTAACATTTGAACCACTATAAGTCCATGTATTTGCCATATGCTAAATAAATAAATAAACCCTTTTGCTATCTTCTTTAAGCATCACTTATCCATACTTTCTGCTCAGGTGAGTCAATCTTGCAGAGTTGGCATTGATCTGATTAAACAATCTCATTTATTGGGACTCTAGATGTGCCCCCTTTCTGTAGCAATTTTTGCCCTCTGGAATGAGATTTGTCTTTTGAATGGCCCCCACTGTGAAAATTCTGTGGTTTAAAGTAGATATGAAGAACTAACTCAGGAGTCTTCAAACTTGACATGCACCCCAACACGAGCCCCAATTGTTGGAAATGTCAAAGCATAGAAGGTACCTTCTTCCATTTGTGGTGGTCGTGCAAGGAAACCCAGAAGTACTGGCAAAAAATTAGGCGCTGGCTAGAGGAAATAACCAAGGAACAAATAGAGTACAAACCAGAGTCCTTCCTTCTAGGAATTTTCGATAAACAAATACCCAAAAAATTGAAGTATATTGTAATTCATATCTTAACCGCAGCCAGACTGGCATTTGCCCAGTGCTGGAAATTATCTTCCATTCCCTCTGAACATATGGTTATTCAGAAAATTTTACAATGCGCCGAAATGGACAAACTAACCCAAGCACTAAAAAATAAAGAATCCTCATCATATTACAACAATTGGAATCCTTTGTATAATTGGCTAAACCAAAGATAGATCATCTCTAGGAAAATTATGGCCGAGGGCCTCTGAAGCAGAGATAAAGAAAAGCACCGCCGATGATACTTTTGAAGAAGAAAGGATCTTACAGACAGTCACAAAATATGGTTTTATTTTAACTGTTTTCCCTACTCTATTCTTCCCCTCCCTTACTCTTCCCTTTCCCCTCTCTTAGGCTTTCCTCTCTCTCCCTCTTGGTCTATGCCAAGGCCTATTTTTCTTTTTGTTGTACATAATTTGTAGTTGTGTTGTTCTTTTAAAGGTAAAACTAATAAAGTATTTTTCAAAAAAAAAAAAAAAAAAGACTTGTGGACTTCAAATCCCAGAATTCCTCCTCCAGTCATGTTAGCTCAGGAATTCTGGGAGTTGAAGTCCACAAGTCTTAAACTTGCCAAGTTTGAAGACCCTTGATCTAACTCTTCACCCAGGCCTTTAGTGAGAGAGAATGAGATCACTGACTTCCTTCCAACTGATCTTTCACACTTGCCATCTTTCACCTTATATTGGTTTTATTGTAATTTCTTTGTTTGTTGGGAGCCACCCAGAGCTGTTGGAAATTGGGCAGCATACAAGTTCAATAAATTATTATGATTGCTAGCACAGTCAGCCAGATGTTTAAACTGGATTTGACATTTTTATCCACTTATCGAATCCTTTTCAAGGATCTGGGATAGGTAGATGTTGATGTTTGATGGTGTAATGGGTATCATCACAGGATGTAAGCTGTTCTGAATAAAACTGCCTTTTGCAATTGACTGCTAGTTTTTGTTAATGTCGATTATATTCAAGTATATTATTATTATAGCTGTTGCTGTCTGCAGGATCTTTTTGCTTTCATCAAAATAACTGAGCAGCATTGCTCCATCACACTGTAAGCTCTAACGTGTTTGTACATGACAGCAATGTCACAACACACAAAGAAAAAGAATGAGGACTGCATCAGTGGCCCCCTGCTTTTATCTTTCTGCTCCCTAATCCCTTTCCCTGGATGTCACTGGATATTGTCTCTTTTCTTTTTATCATGAATATATTTTCATAAGGCCACCTAGAGTCATTTAGGGTGGGTGGTGGAGAAATATGATAGATAAATAAAATGTTTAAATAAGCACTTCATTCTGTTCACATTTTTCAATGTTAATAAATGTTTCATTCTGAGCATCAACGGTCCAGGTTGACCCAAGTTATAAATGACTAGGAGATCAGAGTTCATAAAAAAAAAAAAAAGAAGTGACCCCATTGGGGACAAGGAATTAGTTAGCTAGTTTCCCGGATTGTGGCCTCTCTGTTTACCACATTAGTGCTTTCCAAGAAATTTATCTGCCAAATAAAGTAATTAGTAAAAAAAAAATCATGACTAATTTTAACTTGGCTACATCTGAAAAGAAAGTTAGAAAAGGAACTATTTGCAAGAGATTTCCTAGACAATACTTTAAGCTCAGAGTTATTTTGAAGTGTTGAAAGGTGAAACATTTGACATTTTCTTGTTAAGCTCTCCTTTTAAAAAGAGAGGGCGGGAAAGAGGCATAGCTACAG